CTTACATAAAACAAATTTTTGAAAATGAAGAAAAACTTATGTTCTCCTTTATAAACCTCTAATACATGACATTATCATGAGCCCCTTTATTTCAGAGATATAATTATCCATAAACAATAATCATTATAAATAAAGAACTATTATGAGTTGCATTATCAGATGCTCACAAGGCTATTTACAATTTACTCTCAAATGGCTTTTTGAGGATTTTTGTTAATTGTTTTGTGTATTACACTAGAAAAAGAAAAAGTCTCACAATACTATTATATGACTTTATAAGCCATGATGTTCAAGTTGTTGGAGCAAATGATGAATTGTATGAACAGAAAAATCCTAGAATACATCTGTTTTCTCATACTTGTTTATCATCCTCAATGTTGATGTCTATAAACTATATATTGGTTTTAAATACTGAAGTAACAAAATGATCTCCACAAGGAAACATACATAACTTTAACTTCTTACTCCAAGGATAACTTTTATGTATTTTAATTAGCTACCTATGATTTTTTGCTAGCTCTAAATGAAGAATAACTTCTTCAAAGTACTTCTGCTGATAATTTATACAGAAAAATTTGTCAGCCCCATGAAATGTTGCAGTGACATTTAATTAAAAACATAGAATAAATAAAATTATCAAAACCTCAAAAGCTTCACTTTGCAAAAGAGAGAACAAAAATACTCTATTTTTTGCTTAAGTATGAAGAACATATTTAAATATTCTCAATCAGTTGACCTTTTGTTTCATAGCAGGATATTTGTCCTTGTTAAGCTCTGGTGCCAAATATTATTGCATTTTAAAGCCCTCTCAGGTCTAAAAATATTCAGAATTTCTACTTCATAAAAATGTAAATTTGCACGAAGTGATTTACACCCTTAGAACACAACGAGCATGAAACTAGATTCTCCCCATTACATTACGATTTGTGAATGTCAGTTCAGAAGTGAATATTTTGATTAATATTTTTATAGGAATATAATGAAAGTTCAATATAAAGTTCAATGCAAACAGAAATGAACACTATGATATATTTTAATTAAGAATTGGTAGCATAACCTTTGATATGTTTGCCCTTGAAAAGCTAATTACAAGAATTAGAAACACTTTCTTTTTATTTTCATATTATTTTCCACGTCTTAAAATGTGTGCAGTTTACATGTGAGGTGCATATTTTGTTCATGGCATATACTAAAAGGAATTTTAATGTCAGGCTAAAATAATTGAAGGCCACAGAAGGGTAGATACACTTCTTCTTTTGACATTCAATTATCAAAGATGATAGATAATTATAGAGATTTTTTATTCCTTAAATCATCAGAAAATTATGTAATAATTAAATTCACAGATTTTATGATATGATGTCTAAATATATCACAGTTAAAGATCTGTGTAAGCTCGGCACTGCCAAGGTGCAAAATGCCACCACATCCTTTGTGAAGGATTGCATCTGATTTCATTCTTGAATTCTATCTTTGGTCAACAACCTCATCTTTCCTTTTGTGTCAGCTTGAGTAAAAATTTTCCATAACTTCTGAAGGGTGTGTCTATATTTTCCCATCTTTGCTCCTTATAAACTGTTACAGCACATATACTTTTAACCTCTGTTCTAACCCAAGCTTGGTATTATAAATTTGCCTATAGTTACTTTCAACATAATTCTTCATTTCAACATAATTCTTCATGGTACTTAGGATAATTTTTCATTTCAAAGCCTTATACTGATTTTGCAACAACACTCTGGCATAAATTTTGATGGTTCAAATTTTATATACTCTTTTCATTTTAAATACATGACTCCTATTTTATCTTCAGGGTCTTACGTTTTTGGAGTGTTCACCCCAATGAGAAAGAAGTAACGTTCACATTTATTCGAAATTAAAGATTGCTGTTCTCTGAAGGCTACAACTGAGTCATGTCGTCACTAAGAGCACACAAAGTCAAACATGGCGATCTATTTTTCAGTCAGTTATTCAGTGTCATTACTCCATATCTCAAGGTACAGCAAATGAACTCATGCAAGGTGCCAGTAAATGGAAATCAAGGGTAGTATTATTTTATTTTAACATGAGACGCTCTAGGTACAAACGTCTTGATCAATGGATCTCAAACAGTGAAATTCCAGATGCAGTGAGAAGTTAAGGAAAAGACAGTTTGAGGTTGGGATGGGGAGTTTCCAAATAATTCTCATATCTCATGTCAGCGTTTGCCTCCTGTTTAACATCTGCTCAGCCCTACATTTATGGAGGATTTTATGGTTACCAGTTAGGTAAATCGATCCCCTTTTCCCTCTCAAGAGACTTTTCACTTTTATAATAACACTGCTCCTCTTCTCTAGCATGATTTTCAATGCTCACACACAATTAAGTTAAATATTAATTTTATTTTCTTCTGTGTGACAATAAAAAGGATAAAACTGTACATGTATTTAGCCACACCTTGCAGCTGTGAGTGGAAGTTTGTGTGCTAGCGCAGACAGCTGTATGGAAAGTTCATCTCACTCATCAGTGTGTAGGGAAGTAATTAATTATAAGAATCAGATTGTCCCCTCATTTCGCAAGTAATGTTGATGCTACCAATCCAGGGATCATGCTTGAGAGATGACTGAATTCAGATCTAGTTTCTTTAAGCTTCTCTTTATTGTGTCAACAATCAGCTGAACTATTTTTTAAATTAGTTTTTTGCTCTTGGACCTACAGAACTTTAAAGCGGCAAATAATATAGACTTTTGAATCCTTTACAAACTAATGATAATTGAGTTTTCTCAGATTTCACTGCTATTCTATAAATCTGATTTTCTTTTTCCAATTTATTATAAGAAAATTGTTCTCTGTAATTCCTCTATAAAATTTACATTAGCATGTTCACTATATATTTGGATCTTTTGTTCTTCCATTTGGTTCTTACAGAAAAAAAAAATTTTTTTCCCTATGTATATGTTAAATTCTCTGAGAAGATTCTCTCTCATGTTCTTCCATTTAGTTACTCAACATTTACTCAGCACTTATGAAAAGGAGATAAAAACATCACAAATGATATTGCTGGCATCAAAGAATTTACATTCTAGTTAAAGAAAAATAAATAAATTAAACTGTAAATATGTTAGGTAGTGATTTCTTGGTAAGGAAAATAAATCAGGAAAAATTGAAGATTCTTGACATACTTATAATTACACATTATTTATTTTCTAAAGAAATTCTCCTCTTTGAATTACTTGGTACCATAATTATCCAGTTGATCATCTTTGACTCACCTCTCCTTTCTCTCAAAACTTCCTCATATCCTAGACATCTCTTCTCATCCTGAACGTTTCATTATGCATACTGAGTCAGTCAGGATATAATCTTTAGATCAGATTCACAGAATCTGTTCTTTCTATTATTACACTGCAAACACTTTAGGTCAGTGTTTTCGTTAACCTTTTCCCATGAAAACTTTAATAAATAACCTTCATACCACAAATTCCTACAACACATATTTAACCAAAAGTAGTAGCTTAGGATGGCCAGTATAAAATAGTTTATATCACCAGCATAAAAACCTACTGAGGTATTTTTATTATTTTCTTTTAGAAATAAGGAGACTAAAATACATCACTACGTCATAGAGCTTTGGCCACCTGAGTCTAAAATCTTGGCTTTTACCGATGGTATGTTAACATCTGTCAATAAAAGAGGGCGACATAAAGAGCTAGGACAACAAAGAAGAACACACATAAACTCTTGCTGGAGGACTTTGGAAAAGCTTATCAAAGAGGGTTCCCATGCTGTGTCTTGAGTAAGCAGGTAGTTTGAATGAGCTTAGGTTAACAGTTCTTTAACAAAGACTTAACTTTCCTATGTATGTTCTTTTGTACTGTACTTCTGTAATATGACTTCCACAGAGTGTGTGTTAATTTATCAGTTGATTATTAATTGATTTTCATCATCAAAACAGGAAAAACCGTGAGGTGCTACAGCAAAGAGTATGACTTAGGGTCATAATGAAAGCTAAAACAGATGTAGAACAACAGGGATAACAAGGATGAACAGATTTCATCTACTCTCCAGAATCTGCCATAAATCTCCACTGTCTACAACCTACACTCCCACACAGATTAAAAAGTTGAACCCATCTCTTACAGGAGACAGTTAAAGGAGACATGGACTAGATAGAATAGTTATTTGACCCATAAAACATATTAAAGAATAAAGATCAACATTTCAAAACCCTATAAAAAGGCCACTGCACTTAATTTTTTTCCTATTTCTTAGAAACTATGATGACACAGCCACCTTCAACAGCAACAGCTGTGCAAACTTTGATAGAGTTTAGTTAACATTTCAACTTCGAATTTAAACATAAAGAATACATCTTTTAAGATAGTTTTGTGTCTGTGCTCCAATCAAGTTGCATCATTTTTCTTGCTCAGCTTCTATACAGAACCATATTGAGACTGCTAGAAATGAAAGCCACATGACACCTTCCCTGTGTTCATTGATCTTTCCTGCAGTCAGGACAGCCAAGTCAGCTCCATGAATTTATGTGCTAAGTAACACAGTGGGGATTTTCCAAAATCATAATGCCTTATGAACTTACACCTTATACTTATACCAACATAAACACATACAATCTTTTTATAACAACAAATTCCTAGTGAACAAGTTGAATAAATAAATCATATTCAACTAGTAAATAAACATTTATTTACTAATAAAAACTTTTATTTCCTAATAAACTCAATTTAAATTATTTTCCCTTGTTGTAAAGTTACATTGCATTTCTGTTATAGCCAAATAAATATAGTCCATCAGGCAATAAATATCTTATCTTGGTAAAAATGGGAGAGTGCAATGCTCTGAAACCTATAGTCCCAACTAATTATTATCTTAAATGATAGTGCTACTTGGAATACTAAAATATGTAGCCTGACCGATTATAACAACAACAATAACAATATATATTCTGCCAAAAGAGTATGCATGTACTTTTGGAAAAAAAATAGCATGATTTTTTTCAACAGATGGTGTTACTCTCATATGAGGGACCCTAGAAGATGTTATGTGTTGCAGAAAACCCTCTGCACAGCCAGCCCTTGGAGAAAAAATGGAGAATGTATGTGTGGCAATCTCAACCACCAAGATTACCCAACCAGCAGGTCACAGTACTAATAAACGGCATGAAGCTAATGGTTACCTCTCTGAGCTCCTCTTCTAACTGTAGAAGCCAAAGGTAACTTGCATTAATATCATGATGTCCCAATAAATTTAGTATTAAAGTATTCATGCAAATTTTTCTTTACTTGATGTATATATTTTTGGCTTGCTCTCTGACTCTGTCTGTCTCTGTCTTTCATTCTCTCTCTCTCTCTCTCTCTCTCTCTATATATATATATATATATATATATATAATTGTATGCTTAATTTTTTTTTCTTTTTTGGTTTTAAATATATAGCGTGTAGAACTGTGGGTCCAGGGATGAGTTATTTTTCACATTTTCTCTTAGCACATCTTGTCTTTCTCATAAGAAGAATCGCCTTTCTCCTATGACAGGGAAAGAGAATCATGAGCATTGAGCCAGAATTTCTCACGTTGACAGCAAGTACGACTTTTATGGGTGTTACAAGTACATGATCTATTCGCTTGTGGCAGCTAGAAAAGATTTTGTAGTTCAGGCCAGATTGCAAAAGGTCACCCTTACCAGATGAAGCCGTGGAGGGGAGTTTGCACGCGCCTTATGCGCACAGTATGTGGAGCATATATCTGACCACGTGAATGCAGTTTCCCATAGAGAGAGTGGTCGGGATGCCATAGTCATCCACTGTCGATGCACAAATGAGAATGTTAGAGTCCGAGCGACCCAACCAGCTACCCAGTGAAATGCTTTCACATTTTAAAGGAAGAAATTCAGATTTATTGAGGTAGCTCACTTTCTAAGTATTGTAATGAGACAGGCCAATGTTAATTTACTTTTATAAAGCCCTGTCATGTGCCAATCCTTATTCTAACACACACTCACTTATATTTTTCTTATTTGCAGTATTCCATTACTGTCATTCATTAGATTAAAAAATGCAGAAGTAATCAGGCTAGGCAATGTGTCTATGGCTATATATTTTGAAAGTGGGAGCCAGGAAAAAACTTAAAGTGCACATGTTAAGACATATGTAATGCGACCCTAAGAACTTTAAAATAGATACCAAGTGTGACAGCATTTCTTTTAATCAAAATTTGTACTTTTTCTCATTGACTGAGTGTAGCTCTCTATTTTAGGAATCTGGGTTAGATTATGTAAAAGGTACCTGTGTCAGTGTTTTGATTTTTTTATTCTTCTCTTCAATATCGAGTGTATTGTGTTTTCCCTTCTGATAAAATATAACATGGAAACTAACAGATGACAAATTTATATCCAACTATAAAATTCATTTCATCCCTCATTCATTCATTACAATTACTTAGTAAGGCCCTAGCACCTCATGAGAATCAGTCTTTGTCCACTCACCAGCACATGATTACTCTCGTTATAAAAGACCTGGAGAGAGGTACTTTGGTAGACTTACAAAATTAACATAAAACTTCTTTTTTCAGTTTAAAGTCATTCGAGCTTAGCAAATACCATATATAATATACAAGATAGTTAAGCTAAATATACTACTAATTTCTATTAGTTCATTGACAGGAACAGTTAGTGCTTATATTGTTTGATCAATCTTAGCATGTCTAGGTCTGGTAATCTGAGCAACTACTTTGAAGATGATAACATGCAGTGTAATAACCACTGTTAATTTCCTATCACCTTGTTTTGAGATTCCATATCATTTTTATTGTTCTCTTTTAAATTTTCTTTGACATGAAAGAGGCAATTGGAATGCACACATATTCCAGAATCCAGTGGGCTCTTCTTTTGCCATCAATCGTTCCACTGTCTTCGACTTTTACAAACTGTTCTGTACCCTGTTCCTAGGTTTGCCTTTCTCTTGAAAGTCAAATGTGGTGGTTACACTTAATTGTGCTAACTTCATGAGCCTGGAAGTCACATGGAGGATTAGTACAGCTCACTTCCTTGTGTGTCTGGGCGGGTGATGGAGGCCTGGCCTTGGATACCAGTGTAGTCCCTGGTCTCCTTTCCGGCCCTCGCTCTACTTCCGATTCACCATGAACGAAGCCTCTTTGTGCCACCGATCATTTCTTTCATGATGATTCTGCTTTAGAGCCAGATAGCTATGGGCTGAATGCCCTGAAACCAGGAGTGAAATTAAACCTCTTCTCCTTTAAGTCTTAGGTACTCTGCATTTGCTAAAATTGACTAATATATTACATAAGTGGAGTTAGCATATAGCATTTTTATTCTGGAATACTTCACATACATTTATGTGCTTATGGTTTCCTGTATGGAAAGTTCTTTCGTTTTTTGTTTTTTTTTTTTTTTTTTTTTTAGTTTTTTTCCGGTACTGGGAACCAAACTCACAACCTTGCGCTTGCCAGGCAGGCGCTTTGCCACTGAGCTAAATCCCCAGCCCCGGAAAGTTCTTTCTAAAGCTGAGTTGTACTGTACTGTTGTGGTGTCCTCTGTCACCAGTTCAAGGGTATTTGGGTTCTTTCCCATGACTGGTTGTTATGAATAAAGTTATTATTAATATTCATGCACAGATACTATGTTTGCACAAGTTTAATTCCTCTTATGTAATTGCCTGTGCATGGATTTCAGAGTTCTACGGAAACTATAATTTCAACCTTATAAAAAGTGCCAAATAATTTGCCAAAGTAATTTTAGCAATTTTTACTCCTATTTGTAATAGCAGTTGCAATTTTCAGTTTTTCACAATTGCTTGATATTAACAGGTTTACCTCAGTCATTTCAGTAGGAGTGTACAAGGACCTCCTTATGGTTTCTGATTTTCCCTTCTCTAAGGACTTGAAAATCATAATATTGAGCATATTTTCCGATGCTTATTTTACTCTTCTATCTTCTACAGTGAAATATTCCAGTCTTTTGCTGAATTTTTAAAATGTCTTGAATGTTCTATTTTTAAACTGCCTTATTGATCATGATAATACCTAAATTCATAAATGACTCTCTTTCTATCCTTGCACTTGACTAATCATCAAACACCTGAGGAACCTACTAAACTCAGATTTTTCAGGTCCTACTCCAAAGTTACTGAGTCAGAGCACTTACTGGGTGAGACTCAGAAATTTAAGATATCTCCCCATGGGGGAAAAGCAAATTAAGATTACAGTGATCTATAACAATCTGCAGGAATGGATAAAATAATAATTTAAAACAAGAGTTATGATATTAATTCCTGGTGAGGAATTAATAGAAGTTGAATGGCATGAATAAATATAAATATGTCTTGGTGATTTTATTTATTCCACAACTTATCCATGACTTCTATTTTATCCAGAATCTAAAAGCATTTATACATAGAATGATAGAGAGTTAAAAGTAATAATACATTCACTCAAAAATTATGTTTATATAATAGCCAAACTTGGGTCTAGAGGGTGTGGTACACTCCCAAGTGAGAAACCATTTGCTAAAAAACACAAGAATGACAACTTTCTCTTACCATAGCTGTTCACAAACTATTCTAGAATTAGAAAGCCTGTAACATCTTCTTCAATGCTCCCCTACAGTATTCTTTTCATCAAATTCTCCCCCAAATTTCTGTAACCCTGAAATCTTGTTGGTTTCCAGAGATTGTCTCATTTTTTTTTCACCTGTTCTCAAGACGACTTGGTGCAATTTTCATTGTGACAGGAAGATTAAAGTTGCCGAATACATTAGAGATTGAAATAAAGACCTGCTCTTTACTCAAACTGACTAAACACTGACCTTTTTAACTTCTTTCTTTCATCTCTATTTTTCACACTCTCTCGCTAGCTTTGAAAAATACTCATAATGTGCCCTCTATAGAAAAAATATACATGTTTGATTTGTGTGTCAGCTTAATATTGGAATTTTAATTCATTCATCCAGTGAACACATATTACTGCCTGGGCATGTTCCTTAGATGGTAAGCTTCCAGAGGGTCATGGTCCTTCCACGAATGCAGCTACATAGGATAGCACCATAAGATGCAATTCTGCTTCTCATCAAAACCATGGAGACGGCTGCTATAGGGTGCATCATTAAAAATTGGTCAATATTTACTTCATGTGTTCATTAAGGCAAGAGATGTACATTGAATAACCATTGCTAAACATATTGATGGCTATAATTTAAATAAATTTATGGAACAGACTATTGAAAAGCTATTTAGCAATGATTTTTACCTTTGCTCATTATATAAAACTTTAAATGATAGATGGCTCTAGAATAGTTTGACGATTAAGTTGACAGTGAGAGAATGATGAAAATGAGATCACTGATATCTGAGGGCTAAGAAATTATGAAGGCGTAATTTGGAAAGAAGCAGGAGCTTTACCACTGCATCAGTAAAAGGAATTTAAATCACATATTACTTAATTCATTGCTCAGAATATAGATTAAAGCCAGGGGACCAACTGATAAAGGCAAAAGCTAGATTTCTTTTGAGATGGAATTGGGTGCAAGGGTAGTGTAAGAAAGTTGTTCTGGTAAGATTATTATTAGAGATGATATGCCTGGGGCTCATGACCTAGAAAGAAATCACTCTTGATGGGAGGGAAGCCCTTAGTGATGTCAGTTATCTTGAAATAGGGTTGGTTGCTCTAAATGCTTAGTACCAAGCAGCATCATTTAAGTACTTGAGCTTTTGCAAGTCACTATTTATTAGGCATTTGAAACCCAAATGTTCCAGAGTCCTGCTCAAAACTATTTTTATCTCAGCTGATGGTGCAATTTTGTCCTCACAGACCTGTCAAAGGCAATTTTTAAAAAAATTGCAGCACAATCTAAAGCATTTCATGTTATTTCTTATATCATCACACATTTTTTACTGTGCATCATATACTTTAAATGTTCGTCATACATGTGCTTTTTTCAAGTCTTCACATCAATCATCATCTTTTTTTCCATTTGTGTTAACTTTATTCATTTTACGATATGGCTTTCTTCCTCTGAGTATGTGTAATGGGATAAATGTGCACATGGTAGATAGACAGACAGAAGTAAACCATCAATTCACTGAAATAGTTTGGATTCTCGTGTTATTGCTGAACTAAATATGTCTGGTAAAAGCAGATACATTTGGAGAAGAGCTGATTTTGCTCACACATTAATAGGATTTACTTAATGTACTGACTTCATATGGGAAAATTACATATTGTCAACTTCTATTCCCACTTTCTGCAGTTGATTTTCCATACTTCCTGCTTTCATGTTTCAGAACCTGTTGGGTCGAACTGTCCCCCTCGCTCACCCCTTTGTGACCTGGTGAAATGAAACATGATTCACTCTTGGCCCTTACAGATTTGAAGTGAGATTTTCAGTTCAACTCTTGAGTACAGTTACCAACATTGAGCAGACTTGTTCTTCAAACTCTGCTATTCACATATCAATGGAAAGTTCAAGCTTGCAGCTGTTCGACAACCAAGGTATCACTCTGCGGTATTCTCTTGGTTCAACAACTAAGATATCACTGTATGACACAGTCTTCTATTCTCTTTTCAAATAAACTATTAACACTATAACACCCAGTTTCTATACTTCAGCTGCATTACTCTCCATATTCCCTTTTATTCTAGCTACAGTTGTCTTCCAATCATTTCATTTCTATATTGTAAGAATGTACAGTAGTCCTCCTTTATCTGTAGAAGAAGCGTTTCTAGGCACCTGGTTCCTGCCGGAAGCCACAATGTACTAAAGCCCATGTATAGAGAGAAACATATTATTATGGCTTCAGGTAATGAGCCCCAGGGCATTTTGTTTGAAAAGGGCCACATAGGAAATTGATTCCCTGGGATTAAGTATTTAGTGCTCAGTTGCCCAGGCACTAGGAGGTCTCTGGAACCAAGAGCAAGACACGAAAGAACTCGCTACTGCTCTTGTTGGTGGCAGACCTTGGCACCATCCATGTGGCACTGGTTTTATTCTCACGCCGAGTGAAAAAGTCATTGGGTCATGGGGGATTCCACTCAGGTTTCAGAAGAAGGTTCTGGGGGTGAGGCAGTGTGCCTGTGATGGGGCAGTGCATGAAACTTTGAGAGTGAAGTCAAAAGAGACATCAATACTCCAGAAAGCTGGAGAAACCAGGAACAAAGACTGTCTGAGAAAAGTCACAAGCAGTAAACAATGCCAGACCAACAAAAAAGCCATGAAAGCCGAACTACTGGGAAAGCCATAGGGGTGGGGCAGCCAAAACCAGCTGAAGCTCACATCTTGCCAGAGATTGTCCTGGGTGCTAGATGTGGACCTGCAAGATTTAATGCATGCTCCGTTGGGTATTTCTCTAATTATTGTTGTCACTCTATTCTATAGCAGGGTAGTATCAAGTCTAAAATATGAGATGTACTTGTATATTTTTAAGACTATCATTGCTGGAAGACGTTGCAAAGAACAACATTTTATCTAAAGTCTTATCCTAAATTAAATCCTGTTATACCTTGGCTACATTGAATATTTGTTCATAAAAATAAATTGATACTGCTGCTTTCATGGGTCAGATATGGAACTTGCAAGCTTTCACAGGAACAATTATCCATATTCAACTATCTCAGTGAAGTCCTTGATATACTTATCTTAATCATTCAAATTAAAAGTATATTGAATTCCCTATTTAGTTATGTGTTCATAATAAAAAGCAAAGATAAATTTCCTATGGCATTATTATTTCTCTATTGTATATTCTGCAGTGTGCTTGGTCACCATGCAGCTCAAATGTTTAAAGAAAATACAAGGACATATTCACACACACAGATCAGGTTTGCTAACTGGGCACTGATATTGGATCACCAGGAGTAAGATACATAGCTATGACACGATTTTTTAAAAAAGGCTCAATTTTACTGAAGGGCGTAGGGCTTTTTCCTTTTCTCTTTATTCATATTCATAAGTACCTAAAGGAAAGGAATGTTCAAAACAAGCAAAGAGCACAGGACTATTTTGAAATATGAATTCTTGAAATAATTCTTGAAAAGCACACCAAGGAGTTTATTTTCATTCACCTCTATCCTGCTCTGTCTTTCAGAAATCCTGGCTTTCTCAGCCCGTCCAGCTTTGTGGCTTTGACCACTGTGGCATCCTCAAGGGAATGCTGGGAAATGAGTTACAAAGACTCAACACCATGTGCACTCTGCTGTTTATAAGTCTAGTTTAGAACTAAGTGAGGACAGAGGCACAGCTGCAGACACACAGCAGGTAGAGAATCACTTAAGAGATAATGAAAAGGACCAGAACAATAAGTTTAAAGGAGAGAAAAAATTGGAAACCTGAGGTGAAACCCTGGAGTGACAATAAACCCTGCAAGACTAAAAGAAGCAGAATACTTAAATTCCCCTTTGAAATTCCAACTTGGAAAAACAAGCTCCTAAAGCAATTACAAGTGAAAGGTAGAAATGTCCGGTACACTGGAAACGGCCCTGCACTGTCCTGCAGACATCTCACTTTGGTTGCACTCAGCCAAAGTAGGTGTGAAATTAAATAAGGACATTGCTTAACCTCTTTTGGTTTCATGCTCCAAATGCAAATTCTGGAATAGAAGATTCAGTGATATATTTTTTACAGGTCTAAAGAATCACAAAATATAATCATAAATATTTTTAGGAGCTACACAAAGAAGATCCAAAGACCCATTAGAGAATAGCTGAAACCTTGTAGCAGAAACTTTGCGACCACGTAGATACCATGCACAGGATGTCTGAGAATTAGCGTGAGCCCTTGGA